CCCGGTACTAGTTCGTTGTTCATCAAACCACCATCGACCAAGATCTCTCTCCAGCGATGCGTGGCCTGCTCTCAGTGATTTACTTGATTCATGGGAGGCGAACTCTGAATTCCTTGCCAATGAATTCGTTTCGTCTGACCTATTGACTACTAGGTTCCTAGTCCACTCCCGTAATTGAAAGCAGAGTCTACTCCCCTCCCTCACCTTCATCCTCTCTAAGGGCACCGAGTTCACTGCTCGATGGGAGTGTTGCTACCCCCATCTTCAACGATGCGAGCGAAACAGTCTACATACATCGCATTCGCGGCCCAGGGCTTCTATTCTCATCACTGTTAGTTGCAATCACCATCACCATCACCAGGAATGACAAGAGAGGGGCGTAGCTTCCTTCCTCCCTTCAGTTCAGTCCTCCTCCTTTATCTTCCCCTCACATTCTACCGCTTCCATCCGTGACTGACTGAAGCTGCATGGAATGTGCGCCCGAAAAGTGCGGCACGGCGACGTGGCCGGTTTCGACGATTTGCATGGGCAGGACCAGTCCTTCTCAGCCAAAGAAGCGTCGAAGCGAATTCGATTAGGAGGTGAGCGCAGTGATAGCCGCCTTTCTTGTCCCCGCCTTCGTGCAGAACGCATCGCGTCGTTATGCGAGACGGGGCTTCCGGCAGCGGTGGCGCCCGATTTGAGCTCCCCGCAGGATCGCCTGTTCTTCATGTAAAGGAAACACGAAGGTCGCGGTCGCCTGCCGAAGAGGAGGGAAAACCCCCGACCTGACTTGATCCCCTGTGCGGTGAGGATGTTCTAGTCTGACACCCTTCCACTCCTCGCCGCCCCTCAATTATCGTTATGATAATTGGGCATAAGGGGTCGCAGCACAGAGTAGCATCGAGAGCAGGAGCGCGATACACATCCCTGGTCGCGTCCCAAGCAAGGCAATTTACATTCGAGTAACTCTACATACTTGTAGGTCTACTCTACCTATACAGCTTTCCCCTCCCCTTTGCCCCCGTGAAGCGACCTCGTCAGCCGCCCATATCATCGTGACTTTTCGGGAAATTCATATGAGATGGGCATTTCTGATCACGTTTTTTCTATTCCATCCAATATCACTGACTTCCACATGAGTGGATATCAGGAGGCTGGGCAAAGAGGTCTCGAAGAATGGGACTCGGTCGAGAAGGACGCAGGAGCGGGGGTAAAAGTGTTGGATTGACAGAACAAAACAGAGAGATCACACCCAACATATTGCGGCCTTCCTTCCCTTTAATTCCTCTTAATGCCCTACAAGCTCTCGGTCGCGGTTGATTCGAGTGAGGGGTATGCAGCATTAAGAATTTATGCCGTCGTCCGTCCCGCCTTCCCTGTGAGTAGTAGGTGGATATCTTCCAGTACAGGAGCGAGAGGCCAACTTGGTAGCAATCGGACGCGGGAGTAGATGTTGTTCAACCGGGTGTGCACTCCGTCGTCACCTGAAAATCCCACGTCGACTTCCTCCGTGATGTGTTTTCTCCCAATACTCCCCTCAACCCCTGTTGCAGCCCGCCCATGCCTACATGTACGCACAAAAGAGAAAGTCGAAGTTGCTGCAATGTGGCAGCGACGGGAAGCTGCGGATGCATAGCGGAGTGCTGCGGCTGTGCCGCCCCACTCAATGCCATGGAGTTTCGAGTGGTGACGGTGCTCTTGGGGTTCGAAGCATGTGGTATGGATTCCCGCCGAACGCCAATGCCGGAACTTAGCCCCTACTTCCGCGCGGTCAAAAGAGTCTCTCACTTACGCTGCAAGTGAATACCATTATTCACCCTGATGGACGCATATTCACGGAGCCTGAGGATGTGGGGATGACGGTGAAGTGGAGGGGAAATAGAGGGAGAGGCCCGAAAACCGCGTCCGAATGAGGGTGGCTACATGAACCCTGACCCGCGTCTTCGTGTCAGAAAGCAGCAGGGCGCACATCCTCGACCGTTGGCACAGTGGGCGGCTAGATGAGATATATCACACGCAGGAGACTGCTGGTGGTGAGGAGAGCACGCACACAGATGGCCACGGCTCGGCATCGCCGTCGGTGAGAATGGGGATATATATTCGTGCATCGCAGCAAGCAAGGAAGAAGAGGAGGTCGAGTTGATGCAGCACGTTCTTTTCGACCTCGACAATGAAGAGATCCATTGCTGCGGTTGATTTCTCCTGCTCCTTAATGCTGTTCACCTCCTCTCACCTTCTCTCCCCTTTCGCAGCATGCCAGCATGAAGACATCTCTCCCTGTTTATCCTTGCCAATTGCGAGTCTGGCCACCTAAGCTGCAGGTATGTGCTGGCTCAATCAACGACAATACGCAATCGCTGTGGCCATTTCGATGCAACCGGTTGAGTTAGGTGGGTAGCGGGAAACTTGAAAGCATCGTGGCCCCAGATTTGACCCCGCGCAGACCCTCTGAGTAATCGCGCCTGCCGTCTCGCTCCCTCGTCTTTCCCAACTATTCTTAGGCCTGTGGCTCTGGACAGCCTGGAGAGGATGGAAGGAAAGGGAGCGGGAAAGTGGAGGTTGCAGAGGTGGTCCACTGCATATTTCGGCATCGCGACCCGAGGCGCTTGTTGACTACAAGTAGTTGTAGAGGCCTTGGTGCTGTTGGGAGGGTGCACCGGTATGGAAGCTGAGAACCCATTTGATGGACTGCGGCCAGCAGTAATTGGAACACCGAATAGCCTCGCTGCATCTTCACGAACCCCCACCCCCGTCTCTAATGGGAGTGCTTCGTACAAGATCCCACACGCAGTGTGCCGTCACTACTCAGTCGGACGACGTGCTTTCTTGCAGTTGCTAGAGAGGCAGACTTGCACGCACATCGCACCACACACATGCGATGCACAGATTGAGTCGAGCGAAACTAGCATGGTTGCATCAATGTTTGCTTGATTAGCTATCTACACAATTGGCTGTGAAGATGCCCCCCTCACTCCATGTTGTTAGTATTTCCCTCCGCCTTCGGCTGGGGAGGGCTTGTTGGGGCTGCTTGGCGGCCGCTGATCTGGGGTCCAGATACTTTGATGTCGTTCCTCCAACCCCCCCGCCCTTTTCCTTTCTCGCTGCTGATGAGAGGCGGATGAGTTGATCGTCGTAGAAGCGAATGCAGGCATTGCACGGCGGTCCTAGGAAAGGGGAGCCTAGCCAGATCAAAAGAGTCTGGTTGTGCCGCCATATTTTTGGCTGCTTCGACTACCCCCGTCACGGCCTTTGAGCTAGCGAGTGGCTTTTTCAACCCCCGTGGGAGGCTCAAGAGGCGTGAGATGAGTGATGGGATGGAGGGGTGTCACGATATATACGTGTACCCACCTCTTCTCAATCGACCAGTCCATTGCCTCTGTTCTTCCCGTTGCAGCAGGCTGTGGATCCAGGTTGCTCATGCGCAATTTAGAGGACCGCACCGTTAGACGGTACTGCAGCGTGCCGTTCTTTGTTGAACCAAGCCTATTCCACGCCAGAATACAGCCGATCGCGGGTTGAGCGCGATACGCCCTTAGCGTTGCTAACGCATTCTACTTGTACACTATATTTACGCGACAGCTTTGAGGCAGCCCCAGTGAAGTTGTGTTGAGAAAGGCTTCGCAAGAAGGGCCTTAGAAGTGGTGACGTCTTTCTTTACCGCGATCGAAGGTCAGATTCACTTGTGCATATCACCCGCCCTCGCGCTCACAACTACGGGAGTGCAGGTTATGATGAGATAGCTGAGATGTGGCTACAGTCCGCCCTTGGGTATCGTTGTGAGAGTGAAAGGTAAGGTTCTTCGCCTCTGGCGGTAGAAAATAAGGGCTGATATGTACCTTCCCGTTCAAAGAAGGGAAGAAAACATTTTGATCGGCCCTCCTGTGCTAGGACTACTCGTACCCGGCGCCGGGGAGATGAAAGCAATCGAATGGATATTGAGGTCTATAAAGGAACGGATCTAATAGATCTATCTGGATCCATGGTATTATACTTCATCCTCCAACATCCCCATGCGTGGCTCTGGATCGACGTGGCAAGGAGAGGGATCTATAGATGAATCCGATGGATCAATCAAGGACCCAAGGCGCCTGTGGATTGTAGACAATTCTACCTCGGTAGTGTATAGATCAATGGCGTCTGGGCTAGTAAGGCGCTGTCGGGATCAACCTACACCCACTGTTGTTGCCCTAGCGTGGATCCCTGTTGCTGACTTGGGTTGGTCCGGTGAGCAGCATCAGCAAGGGGTCACATGATACATTGCCCTCGCTAGTGGCTTAACTCAGCTCGTTGACAGGTCACTACAATTGATCTTTCATTGTACATGTAATATCCAAAGGCAGAAATCGCAGCATTGTATTGAATAGATCCATTGATGAACGGCGCACCACCTGCGTTCTACTAGGAAAGGGGCGAGGGCAGTGGTCTTTACACTAACGCATGACCGAGGGAAGGAAGTGAGCCTTCATAGTAATAATAAGCCGAGAACGCCTGGTGTGTTCAGTTCACACCAAACGTTGAGGCGACCCACTTCTGCGGCACCAGTCTTGCACTGCTCCACGACGAGGCTTGCAGGGAGATTGGGGTACTTGAATGCTGTGTCATGTTAACCTCCGGAGAGATACAGAGCAGATCAAGCTAGTATTACTGGCTGGCCTCAGAGCCAGTCCAACGCTGCTTCCAACCCGGAAATGTCTCCGAAATGTCTCCGCCATAACGAGGTCATCGTGGAGATGTCGCCGAAAGAACTCTCCGCATTGGAAATTAAGAGCACATCCCCCTAGAGATAAAAGGAAGAAGATTCTTCTGGGGAAAAAAAAATTAAAAGAAAGAGGAGAAAATCAACAAGAACGTCATACACTAGGAAGCCAAGAACTAGGATAATCGTTGCCCACAACACTCGTCAATCGCCCCAATCTCGAATTCGACTGCTTTGTCCAGCTCTTTCAGATCCAAAACTTCCCCGCACAGCCCCTCTAGACAAAAATCCATAGTACCAGACCACTTCCCGGTTCAGCGTGATGGCAGACACAACAGCTTCTAAGAACCAGAAATATTTCAAGTGAGTTAAGTTGTACTGGTTTGAGCTTTCTGTCTATGTTCCGTTTTTCGCAGCCGTTTTCGTCGTCCCTCGACATCCCTCAAGGCTCTCAATGGTGGCCAGGTAGCAAGGCAGCATTCACTCATTTCCCCTGGTAGCTCAGTTTCTTTGAGAATTGGAACTCACACCCTTCTCTTCCTCCTCGTGCGCCTTTTTCTTTTTTTCCCTCTTCTTTTTGCTTTCCATTCCCGTTTTTCAGCTTCCTCTAGAAATCATTTCCTTCTCAACAGGGGTGGTGGATCTCCCAGCTCCCTCGGGGAGTGGTCGGCTGGCTGGCTCTTTGCCTGGCTTGACCAAGTGGTGCCAACAACCCCTGATAACCCTGGCAGCACGACGTTTCCCGCAGTTTCCACAGCTCTGAAGGCGCTATTGATTTAAGAGCGCGTTGGCGTCACCATACCCACCCCACCCCTTCAATGTTCTTTCTTCGAGCGGACAGGCCCTAGCGTGGAGTGAGCCTGGTTCTCAACTCGCACGCCAGTCAAGAGATCTGTGCCTCATCTTCACCGTTCTCTTCCTTCCTCTTCTCGAGTTCTATATTTCAGTGCTGCCCGTTCGTTTTCTATGGTTCGGATTTTTGCTCCGGGAAACGAGGCGAAGAGGCAGGGAAGATAGAAAAGCCAGGGTTATCGCTCAGATCCCCCTCTCCCTTGCCCCCGGGCATCGTGGATCGTTTCCCCGACCCTTGTGCACCTTGCGTCGCTCACGGGTGGGGACTTTTGAGCTTCCTCCCTATTCATCATTCAAGCCCTGATCACCAAAGTGGGCCCTGATGAGTTTTGAGAAGTGTACACGAGCACGCCGAATACCCTGTCTACTCTCCCTTGCCCCTTGCCCTTGCCGATGCGTACGGTGCTTGTTGAAGGATGCTATAGTAGACATGGACTGATCTTTGGGCAAATTACCCCTCGCCCGCAATATCTAGTGAGCAGGCGTCGTCCTATGATACCAAGCATGAAAAAACAATCAACCAGTTGATTGCGCACATCCAAAAACGAAAGGACTTCATCGGTGCACAATGGGTCGTCGATGACTCTGATGATGAACCCACCACCGAAGCAGACGGCTCTCACAAACCTAGCGTGGATAAGGATTCAGTGAGGTTTCTAGACTATGCCTGTGGTACTGGTCTTGTCACTAGGGTAAGTCGAAACCCCCCGCGTCCACGCGCACACCTAAGCGAAGGCATGGAGGGTGGCCATTCATGGATCAGACCTAATAATCTTCCGTCCGCCTCCCGGGACGTTGGGTTGGATCCCCGTGAGCTGCCTTCCCCTTGCACCTCACATCACTCCACGCTACTGGCATATACACTATTATCATTTCTCTGGGAGGATCTTCCGAGATGATCTGTTTTCCCACCTCCTTCCACCGTTTTGTCTCGACAGTGGCTAACCGCGCGTGGGGGTGTGGGTGGATGATTTGGCTTGCACAGGCTCTTGCCCCGTATACTTCCCAGTGCGTGGGGATTGACATCTCTGAGAACATGGTAGCGTCTTACAATGCGCGTGCTGAGAACCAGGTGAGTAGTACCCGCCCACCCACCACCTATGCAGTAGGCGGAGAGAAGACCAAGAGTTTGCCCTGCAGTCAGTCTCAAACCCTGAGCACACATTCTCTCTCTCTCTCTTACACCACAGCCCCCTGCTTCTTCATAGGAAAAAGATGGGGAGGGGGGAGCGACCCAGGGCACGACCCTTTGAGGTGCATGAGACTAGGCTCTCGTCCTCCAAGCCTGCTCTGTTCTGCCCAGCCTGTGGGACAGTCATTTCTATCCCCCACCGCCTCTAGCACGGCAGTTGATCCGATAAGAGAACAAGGAGGAGAAAAGTAGTGCTGACCATGACTTGCGCTGCCTCCTCTTCAGGGTCTAGAAAAGGAGGAAATGTACGCGTACCAAGGCAATCTCCTGAACAAGAATGACCCGAACCCGGCCTCACTCTCCGACGCCACCTTCTTCAACTTTGACGTGGCAGCCGTTGGCCTGGGTGCCCACCACTTCGAGGACCCGGACTTCGCCGTCCGTCAGATCACCGCCCGCCTACGCCCCGGCGGGGTCTTCTTTATCCTAGACTTCTTGCCCCATGAGCCGTTTGACGGCCACCAGCATAAGGCAGTGCACACGGTAACGCACCACGGCTTTTCAGAGGAGAGAGTCCGGGACATGTTCACTAGGGCTGGCGTAGGTAAGGGGTTCGAGCTCCAGGACCTGGGGAGCGGGGTGGTGTTCGCCGGCATGGGCAAGGACGGTAGCGACATGAAGAGGAGGGTCTTTATTGCGAGGGGGAGAAGGCTTGAAGCTTGCAATGTAATAGCGGTCACCTGTAAGCATCGGATCAGGGTTGGATTTGGCTCGTATACCTCAGTAGCCTAGCTTCAACCGAAAGAACACCTGATAGGTGAAGTTCGAACCTTGTGTATTATTCGTATGTATGCAAACGAACCGCAGACATGGTGCCGTGGCTTTTTGGCCATTGAAGGACTGCAATATCCTAGCTACTTCCCAACTTATTCTTTATACACGACATCCACTTCATTCTCCAAGTCCACAACGAATGCGCCACCTAAGAGGATAGCAGGCTCATCAATATTGTGGTGCTCGTAGCTGCGGGCGGTTTCCATCTATGGGTTAGTCAACCTTTCTTTACGATTCTTCTTCTCTTTACTTTCATGTTTAATCTCTTGTCCATTGATTCTTACCTAAGGGTGCCTACACCACCAGCCTCGAGCAGGAACGTAAGGCCCTCATCCAGTCCTTTGCGAGCCCAACGCATAGCAAAGGCACGTAAGATGTGACCATGGGCTACGACGAGGACATCGCCATTAAGAGAGGAATCCTCAAAGGCGGGACGGTGCCATCGTTGGCGAATGTCTTCGATGATCTGGTCAAGGCGGTCCGTCACATCCGCGGCGCTTCTGTAGTTTCGTTTGTTAGTCTCTCTCTAATTCGCTGACCCATTCTCTGTGTTTCGCATTATTCCGGGTGAAAGGTATGAACTCGATAGAAAACGGAAGGCTTAGGGGTGCATGAAGCGGATAGCAAAGCCCGCACAAAGAACGTACTCGCCACCCGGACATCCATCCTTCCAGATATCCCACCAGCCTTGGATTCCAGCTTCGGTCCTCCCTTGCGAATGGCGGCGCTCGTGAGGCCTTCGTAGTCACCATAGTCCCACTCTCGCACGGCGCCAGTGACCTCGACCTCGGCGGGACAAGCGAGGCTGTTGGGCTCGCGGGCAGGGCAGGACTCACCGCGCGGGGGCCAGGGAGCTCGTTGCGAGGGTGGAGGTTGAGGAGTTCAAAGGTACGCTGGGCGCGCTGGCGGGGAGACGTAGCTGTGAGGAGTGGAGGACTGGGCCGAGAGGGGAGGGGCGGAGGGGGACCTTGTGCGAAGGTTATGTTTTCCCTTGCCGCCCCTCCCTCAGACCTCCCGGCGCCCCCTCCCTCTGAGTTAGCGAACGTTCTTGTGATGTCCTTGTGTACCTTGAATGAGAATTGGCCGCACGATTTGGCATTAACGGAGTAGAAGAGAGAAGTTACGATAAAAGGAATGCGTTATATGTATAGACTGAATCAGACTGTCTACATCAGGGGGCAATGGTGGGTTGAGAAGGAGAGGTATCTATGAGTGACTGGGCGGACTCACATATGCGCCAACTTGCGAGGGACAATGAGTCGATCGTGGCCGACAAGGGCCTTCCCCGTCGCGCGGACTCGGCGCTCGCCGTTGGCGGTGAGAGGAATATCAGAAGTTGACGTATGACGCCCGTCTAGGGACCACTCGGTTTCGCCGTGGCGAACAATGAAGACTCGGGGAGTAGCAGACATTTTATTGCTTGTTTGCCCCTCCTGTTTTCCTATGTTACCTGGGCCTGGAAAATAGCCTGCCTCAGGGAGAGTCTAGAATCAAAAGTTTAGCTGAACGAGACAAGCTAGATGAATTCTCTCTTATTCTTTTATTTCCCCCTTTTCAGGATATTTTCTATATCTTCAGGTCTCTTGTGGTTGCAGCAATTTGGAGGGGCGAAGGCGCATCGAAGCGACTGTAATATTCGAAAAGAAAGAAGAAATGCGGGAAAGGACTCGGGATGAAGGCGGGGTGAAGTTCTTCGTGATGTCACTTTTGGTGAGACGTACACTGGGTAGGGAGATCCATTTCCCAATTCCTAAGCTTGGTGAGGGGGAGGGAGATGTTTCATGCGCCTTCGGGCCGCATCCATTGATCCGTGGATGTATTCCTGATCACTTCGTGTACTTTCATCAACGACAGCGATTGCTGGCTCATGTTACCCTAGCTCTCACTAAGCTGACGTTGCTGGGCGTAATGTCCCCATTTTCTGCCCCGCCCCCATGGACTAATTAATTAGCAAGAAACGGGCTTACTTGAGTTCTTCCTTCAAAACTCTAGAAGACATGAGATGCTCCGCTTAACTAGGATTCTGGAATGTACCATGTGCTGTAGGAAGCATTAGTTTCCGCATCCCGAAAGGAAAGCTCATTTCCGTCCATTTTATCTTCATGATCAGCATTGACGGGAAAGGGCCTTGTTGTGATACAATATGCCCGTTATATATTTCTCTCATTTGAATGGCTTACTTCTTTACTCCTTGGCCTTGTTGTTAATCTTGTCTCGAAGCCATATCCCAAGTAAAGCACAGGATTATTTCTCACAGTTGCGCAAGTCGTCCGGTTTATCGGAATGGGCAAAGAGCTTGCTCTTCCCCCACCACCCCACTATCGCCATCGGGAAGCCCATGGCCCAAGCTCCCCGCATTTCAACCCCCTTGCCACGAGCTGACTAAGCGAAGTGTTTCTTTGACGAAGAAAAGTCAAGATCTTGAGAAGCTCTTCAAAGCGACGCTGGCCGCTAGAGCGGATGAGCAAGCAACCTCCCTTCCCGACCCGATACGAGCGAATCCGAGCGAAACCAAGCGAAACCAAGCGAATCGATGCGCTGGGAAATAAGTGCGTCATTATAGCTGGGAAGAAAACGGCTTGGCTTGGTATCACCTATACCTACCGTTGTTTGACCCGAGAGAAACCGCCTAGAGCGAAACCACCCGACGACGAGCTAGTGCTCAAAGGGCGAACGTGGGGAGTCGATAGCATAAACCGCACCAAAAGCACAGGCTTGAGAGAAAACAAAACCATAATAGTAGAGAGATTTGGTCTTACCGTGCATCCAACCATTCTGCCGAGACCCAAAGAAGCCAAGGGTTGAGTCCCTAACAGTCCGGGGTCGAGCGACGAAGCGAAGAGATAGACAAATAACTGGAAAGGGAAAAACATTGTGACCCCACCCAAACAGACTATTCAGTATGTCAAAGACGCCGGTCGCCGCGTCGGTCAAGATCCGTAGCGCCGTCCGGGCTACAGGAATCGCCATCATCGTCATCGCCGGGTCATGGTGGGGTGCCGGCCTCCGAACCAACCAAGATAACCAAAAGGTGCATTGCTTCTTTATCCCCCTTATATTCCTGTTTGCCCATGTCTCCTCCTCTTCGACAGATTACAATGGAATCTTTCGTTCGTGGCCATTCACCCGGCCAGCTAAAGAATAGGCTAGAAGCTTACACATGCCATAACCGTGATTAGGAGATGAAGCGCATACTCGAAGCTCCCCTCGAAGAAAAAGTCGCCGTCCTGGAAGCCCAGAAGCAGCACCTATACTCTCAACAGGCCCTTCTCCAGCAGAAACTCGACATCTTCCACGCGAATGTAAGAGAGCGCGAGGCTGCCGCAGCCAGGAAGCGGGAAGCTACCGCGCAAGAATCGGCCAACCGGTGAACCCATCGAGTTATCTTCCCCGTGGCCGACGGGAAAGGGAGGGCTGCTACTCGTCTTTTGAGGGTTCATTTTTGTTGAGGAGAGGCCCTTTGTTCCTTGTTCACGGTCTCCCTCGCAGGAACGCAGCTATTCCTGTAGCCCAGAACCTGAAACCGTACAAGGTCAGAGGGTTCATTGTCAGGGTGGAACACCACCTCTATACGAATATGTACGATTAATGGGATATTGAAATGACGTTTTGTACCATTTACGCACAAGAGATAGAGGCAAGTTAAATGTAAGATGGAAGGGAAGAGCGGTGCCTATCGAGATTTGCAACTCGGAACAGGGTTGGGCTTTGTACATATGACTGGCGGAAAGGGAGCACTGAGGGGACCAACCCATCTGCCACTGCATCTCACACCGAAGAGCAGTCCCATCATTAGGCCTGTTCACACGCTTTGGTAGCATTTCATTCGTAAATCGCAGTTCAACCTCTTCCTCCTCCCCCGAAACAACTGGTCAATTGGCACCGCCCCCAAGCCCTATATCTGATTTTCGTGTTTGGCGCAGTTCTTTTCTAAACCTCACCTCCCTTCTGCCCTTGACAAATTTGCGCCTAAATGCATGGGACCAAACGCCGGCTCAGGGTCCTCACCTTTTCCCGTTTTGTACCAGGATCTAAAAAAGAAATGGAAACAAGATAAAGGAGCTAAGGCTAGATAAGGCAGCCAAAGCTAACATGGTACTATCAAAACCATCCGGAGGTTCTGTGGGAGGGCCGCGACGACGGGAGGAGAGGGGAGAAAAACAAGGGGGAAAGAGAAGAGACGTCCAAAAACACCAGAGGATGTCTTACTCAAGCATCTACTCCTCAATGACGCCACTAGCACGGGGAAGTGGAATTGCCTTATACAGAAGGATAAGGGCTGAGTGAGACTCACCGCCGCCGGCTAGAGTCTCAATCTTGTCACCCTCCACCTCGCTAATCTTGTCGTCGTTAAACCACCACCAGTTGCCGTCCTCTTCGCCCTTCTTACCCGTCTTGGGGTCCACGGGCGCTGTCTTTTGACGTATGCCGTGTAGTGTCCGCTGTCTGCGCTGGAGCCCTGGTGCGTGATGACGGCTCTCAGATCGTAAATGCCTGACTGATTCGCGCCTGTATCGTGGAGAAGCTCCGGGCTGATGAGGGCATGGAGCTCTTTTTTAGCCGCTAGAAGAGCAGCGTCCCGCTCTGCATCAACCTCAGCGTCCGTCTTATACGTCTCTGTCATTTCGGTATCGCCGTCAGCGCCCGCCTTGTCATCCTTCTTGGCATTCTTGTCCTTTTCCTTATCTTTGGCCTCTCCCGCAGCACCCGCATCATCGGCGCCGGCGTCACGAATCTTGCGCCGCTTGCGGACTCGCTCAATATCTTCTTCGTCTTTGCGAATCTCCCGAACCTTGTCACGGACGGGTGCGAGAAGCTTCTTCAAATCATCTGTGCAGAATTCGACGAGATCGAGTTCCTTGGGGAATGAGACCTTGCGCATGATTTTAGCTTTCTTCTGGCTGTCACGCCTCCAAAAGAATCGCACAAAGTGCACCGTCAAGTATTGTGGCAGCCTCGAGATCTTGGACGTCTTAGTGAACGTGGTTTCCTTCCCAAGTGCCTCCGAGTTCTTCTCGATCTTCTCTGTTAATGCGTTGGCGATACCGTCCCTCAAGTGGTTGGTCGAGGCCGTGATGTGGCAGTTCAGTTTGAGGAACTGGTCAGTGGACTCAATCGGCACCTCACCACCCTCCTCGTCGCATTTGAGCTCCGAGATGAAGCTGCCTGTCATGTGCCTGTCGACGAACGTGGTTGAGGAACCTTCTCCGGGAATCTGTAGCTTAGCTCGAATTTGCGCCAGGATTTGCGACCATGCCTCCTCGGCATCCTGCTGCGCGTACACATTGCTAGACCGGGAACGCTCGGCGAACTGGGGGAAAACTGCGCGGAGAGTGTTCAGAAACCCGCTAGGTTCTAGGCTTCCCTGTGTCTGGCCCATGCGCTTATAGAGATCACGGAGGTCTGCCACAACATCTGACGCACGACTGCTCGGCTCCCCATACTTGATAAGAGCATTTTGGAGCTCAGGGATGGCTCGAAAGGTCTGGAGTGTCGAGTTGAGGTAGCAAGTGTTGCCCAAATTGACAAGGCCGGCCGGCGTGGCGCCCTGCTGCTGCGCCGCCTCGGCCTCTGTCATATCCTCAACAAATTTGACGGGCTCCTTGGGCCGCACGAGATCTCCACCGGACCCCGAGGGCGTACCGAGCATCATGATAGTTTGGCCAGCCTTGAGTCCAAGCTTGGTCATATCGGTATCATCCTTGAGCTGGCCGCCCTTGACGAGGATCTTTTGCCTGTCGGGCTCAACACCGGTCAAGCTGTAAAGTTGGAACTTGAATACTTCGCCAGGGTTCGAGGTATCCACTTCGAGTTCATATTTTTGCCCTGGTGCTTCACGATCACTATGGCGGGGTAACGAACCCGGATTAGCTGGGCTAGAATAGGGAGGGGGGTTGCTAAACACAGGACTAAGTACCTGGGATGGAGGCCATTTAGCGGTGGGTATTTCCACGGCGCCGGCTAACAGATGGAGGGATTGCTGGGGAAGGGCCGCGAAGGGGCCTACGTAAGGGGAGGGGCGAGGTGGCAGGTTGCACCGAATGATGTTGCGGTGGGAGATGTGAGGAGGGACTACGGGAAGAAAAGGAAAGGCGATGTGATCAGTTGAATCGAGGAAATCGCAAGAGTCCTTAAGAGGAAAGGACGCTGGACAATGCGCAAGGCAACCGGTTGGTGTGCGTCAGCTTTCGACGAGGGAAGATTCTGGCCGCGGAAGAGAGGCGAAAGAGCAGCGAGCTATGAGAGCATGGCTCCTTGACCTGTCTGCAGGGCCAATGAATGGTGGGGTTCCCGGGCAGGCCTGTGGCTGGAAGCTTCCCAATTGGACAAGGGGAGGGGTTGCTACACAGTCACGTGAATTAATGTTGTGGTGGCCATGGACCTCTAAAGTCACTTCGCTCACTGCCTCACAGTTGAGATAATGGGCAACGACTAAATAAACCTCCAGGAACACCAATTCATCCGGGCATTATGAGTAACAAATGAGAGTCATCCCAGCGACGGACGTGTATATAAATTGAGGCACCTAGTATAGGCCGCACGATTTGAGATCCAGTCCTGGTGGAGCAGGCCAACTAAACCAAGATAATCTTAAGCCTGAAGCACCCCCGTAAAGAAAACGAGATGATTAGAATCGGGCCTATATTTAGGGAGTACGAAGCATGGAAGACCGAGTTCTTTCGAATTCTTCAGTCCGCCACTATCTTTTTATTCTTTCCATTTATTTTGGAACTTCCTAGTATTCTGTTTTGTGCTATATTTTGCGCACGACAACGGAGGAGCTGCGTTCCACGCCAAGCCAAGCTGAGCCTTCAACAAGGATACGTCGTTTTAGTGTCATCCGTACATCCCCGAAGGTATAATAGGTCTTTGTGTTTTACATGGACCGCGATGCGAGGAGATAGTTCCAGGTGATTTATCGAATCGTCGTGCTTCGCGCGTCATCGAAATTTCTCCAAGAGATAATAGATGGAGAGGGGCCATGACACATCTCCACAACAAAAGAGGCGTGGGAGCTCCACAGTATACACACGCGATGCGGAATGGATGGGGTCCGCGTCCGTGGTGCTCGCAGTACTCATGCATCGTCGCCTCTATTCCTTAGTCTGAGTCGTCATTGACGAATGGATTGGCGATCACCTCGCTACCGTCCAAGGGGCTGATAAGCACAAGGAGAGTGCCTCGGGCAACGACTAGTCCGAGGGACCGTGTAGATTCGTTTCCCTCCTCGTCTGCAAGAGGGGGAGGGAAAAAAAGGAAGGGGAGCAGTTAGCACTCTCCTCTCATGTGAATGCATCAAGAAACGATAAGGTTATTCGTCATAGGGATAACCAGCAACCTTCGAACATACCACGAACGACTTCTTCCACCTCGTCTAAGACCAGGTTCATCAGGGCGTCGAATCCTTTGAGAGCGCCAGTCACTTGAGAGAGAGTTAGCCAGGTGTTTGAAAAACCAAGAGGGAAATCTTTTGGAAAGTCCTTCATAGACTGTAACTCACCTTCCCTGCCACCATTGAACTTCACCGTGATCCTTTTATCCATGTACTTGTTCAAGTCCAAGATATTTTCCTTTTTTGGCTTTTCTCTATCCTTGTGGTCCCCGCCAGCGCCGCCTGAATGCGCCGCTCCGCCCCGGCCTCCTCCGCGGCCACCCCGATGCTGGTGGCCGCCGCCACGTCCGCCTCCTCGGTGGGAGCCCCGATCAGCCATCTTATCCCAGTGAAGCTCTCCGCGATTGCAAAAGCGTCGCCACAGATACTTGTTACAAGGCCTAGATCAATGAGGGTTCCGACAAAAGGCTGCGAAGTCAGAAGGTTGTTGCCTTTAGAAGGCGAGGAGAAAGAGGCGTGGGGTCAAGAGTCTTGAGGTTGAGAGTGGGGATGAGGGGAGAAACCCCGCGCGCGACGTTCAAGTGAAGTCGGTGAGGGTAGTTTTGGTGGGCCGGCTTGTTCTGCAGGAAAAAAAGGCTACCCGCGTTGCTCTTGTGTGCCGACAAACAGAAAATAAATAGAGGGTGAGCTGTACTGTTGCCAAATTGAAGATTTCTTTCGAGGTGGCCCTCCTCTCGCTCGCCTCCCCGGTTATTGGCATGAGGCGGCGGCTGGATGTCAAGGGCGGTGAAGGCTATTCTGCCCACTTGTCCAACCTTGAGTTTTTGGTGGGTTGGCCGAACCTGCTGTGGTGTGATTGATGCGCTGTGGAGGGTATGTGGGGACAAATAGGAGAATTCGATCTCACCCAACACCCAGTAAGCCAAGGAGGATAGCCTCCTCACCAGGTTCAGAAAGAAGGTATAATTGATCCATTAGACGAGTTTGTTCCCGCCTAACTCCTCCTCTCAGGCTAGGGAATCTTCTGCCTCGTCTTTTTCCTTGCCCTGGATTAATTCCCCAGAGCGAGTCCGTTCGCTGTCGTTGACAAACGCAATGCGAGCGGCGCCTTGTGCGCCCACATCACCGGCTCTATGCTGACAACGATTTTTCAGTATCATTACAGGTCATCTCTGGTGTGCTTCTCAACCACCAACCTTTCAGGCTCGCCACCTAGACTGGCTCTCCTTGTCTTCATTTCAAAAATGCCCCGCCGTTAAAACCCATGGCACATACTAGGAGTCTTCTCATACGCAAGCACCATTCTGCCTCATCTGCTGAACCTTACTTGCTAGTCAATGGGAAACGAAAAATATCTCAGCGACGCGAAAAGAGGAAGAAGGCAGTCAGGCAAGGTAGTAGATGTAGTAAGGCGTGCGGTAGGCGGCCAAGTAGATCGAGTCGTGCCGGTCGGCGGCCAACCTACCGTGGCTCTGGACATCACGTTTGCAATCTTCCTACAGTCTAAAAGGCCGCCGGGCGTCTTCCTTCAGGGTTACTCTTTGTGGCTTCCCAGCTCTCTACCGGCAGCGTGCCTGAGGCCTGCCAGAAAGAAAACCCTTAGGTGTAGGTGAAACGGGTAAGAAGAAGAAAAGGATCTCGGATGATGGAACCCGGAATGCAAACCCGCGTGCTACCTGCCTTGCCCCCATTAGCTTAATCACTTTCTTTCCTCTCCGTAACATTTCCTCTCCTTCTTTGTCTTTCGGGCCATGAGGCACGCGGGACCGAACATGTGCGTGTCGACAGGCGGACCGATATCCTCAGATACTTGTGATAGCTCACCGAGACCTTTCTTCGCAGCAATCGTCCCCTCCCCGCACCCCCAACTAAACCACGCATGCAGCCCGCCGGTAAAAAAGTTCCAGATTGAGAAAGCGAAGGGATTGGCGGTGGGTGAGCATGAATGGGGAGTGGAGAGCGGTCGGCTCCTGCCGGATCGTCTTTCCTAGGGTGGAGTGGCGTCAAAACCCTCGTGTGGGGAGGGTACAACGCGCTGAGCAAGAGGTACAGGTGGGCGCTATCAGAGTACTAAAAATGGGGTGGCCAACGGCGGACTTGGGAATGGGAGACAAAGGTGAATAGGCGTCGCTGTATCGAGAAGGTGGGTTATGTTCCACCCTCACTTTTACCAGCCATCCTAGTGTCTTGAGTCTACGATAGGCGGGTCAGTGACTGAGCGGGATAGCGACTGGGCGGGATTGCCCAAAGCCAAACACATATACGCGCCTACCTACGCACTAATCCCGTGGAGGTCCAGTGACAGGGCCGAGGAAGTGCATGTGGTTCAACCTTTCACTTTCATTCCCACTCCTCAGAGGAAGCCTCCGGCACTAACGGACGGGACGGGACGAGGGCTTTGTGCGAAATTGAAGAGGCTGAATAGAGGCAGTATCCAGATAACACATAACAGCTTCTGCTGGCCCCTCCACTGACAGCTCAACACGCGTACCATCTAGGATTGACGTGCCCAACATTTCTGAGTACCACGGTATCAACAGGGCCGAATTTTGGCGCTCACTAGCCAGCAGCACATTGTGACGTGTTCTATAGGACGATACTTTCTTTTTCTTCCCTTTGTCAACCCCACCATCCTGGTTTCGGTCAAATATCAGCGGTCAGCGTCATCAAGTCCCTTTGCTGCCCCGTTGCCCTCTTGCTCACGGAGGTGCGCACGCTGCACGGGGAAAGAAGGTTATCAGCTGAGGAGAAGGAAGGAGGGGGGCGGTTCTCCTCTAGGTTGAAAGCACTTGGCGGTCCTCACCGACACCGACACCGACGCCGGCATTGGGTTCCAAGACACACACGCGCCTTGCTGACTACCGGCGCGTATCGACGATCAACTACTACAATCCTAGCCAAGAGGCGGTTCTGGGGATGGCGAATTTACGGGGCTGATGGAGATGCGCACCCAGCGATACCCGGGTGAAGGCCACTGGTTAAGCCTGCCAAGCCTTGTTTTCATCAAAGGGATGACCAAGTCGGACGAGGTATATCTAGAGTCAGACACAATTGTGGAGCCTACTGACTTGTTAGGTTGGCCTAAGCTTCCCCGGGCAGACTTCCCGACATGCAAGAGATGCCTAGCGCCATTTCTTGATGCTCGATGCTCGTGGTTGGGAAGGGGTGGTGGACGTGAATGAGACGAAGGCGAGTTTGCGAGAATGGTGGTTTCCGTCGCCCCGTTCAAATCGAACGGCGAGAGACCTAGACCTGCCACAGGCCAGGCCAGGCCAGGCCATGCCAAGTAGCTCGACAGCACGATAGCGACAACCACGACTGCGCACAGCCTATCTGAGGCTCGCTGGATGTCTCGTCTAGCCTGCCATGTATGTCGGCGGTACTGCTAGCCCCCGCCTCTAGCCTGCGGGACCTTCTGTCCCTTGCTTGACTCAGTAATTCGCGCGCTGCAAGCCCTTTTTCAAACTGTCGCAGTGCGGCCCCATAAGGGGATGAGAAATAAGAGGTCCTGAGGCTATGAGGCGGAACGGGAGGGGGTGAGCGCTTTTCTGGCGGAGACTGGTAGAGATGCATCAGTTGCGCCCCATTCGAAACGTACAA